CAATGCCTCAGAGGAAAACATAGCTTGAGCACAAACTCAACCAGAATTCCTGAAAGATATGAGGCAAGAGTTTAAAAAAAAGTTAAATTTTTTACAAATAGAATTAGAATGATTGAGGAAAAAACTGGAAATGAGAGCTGTGGAAGACAGAAGTCAGAAGCAAATTAACAGGTTGGTACAAAAACCTTGTCCAAGCAACAAATTCCTTGAAAATTAGAAAGGACCAAAGAGAAACCAATGACTCTATAAGGCAACAAAAAATATTTTTAACAAAGTCACAAAATTTGAAAAAAAGAAAAAGAGTGGGTTGTATCTCATAGCAGAAAGAACAGACCTAGAAAACAGATCAAGGAGAAAAAAATTCAAGAATCACTAGACTATCTAAACACCATGGCCAAAAAAAGAGCCTGGATGTAACATTTCAAGAAATCTTAAAACAAAACTGCCCAAATCTCTTGTACCCAGAGGGCAAACTGGAAACAGAAAGAATTTGCTGGCCATCTCCTTAAAGAAACATGAAAAGGAAAATTGCCAGGAACACCATAGCCCAAACTGAGAACTTCTAGGTCAAAGAAAAAAATTACTTCAAGCAGCCACAAAGAAATAATTCAACAACTGAAGCACTACAGTCAGGATATCACATGATTTTGCAGACACTACTATAAAGGAACAAACACCTTGGAATACAGTATTCAAGAAGGCAAAAGCTACAAGCTTCGTGCCAAGAATAACTTACCCAGCAAAACTGAACATAATGCTAAAGGGGAAAAAACATGAAAAAAATGAAATAGAAAGCATCCAAGTATTCCTGGTGAAAAGAACAGAGCTGTGGAGAAACTTTGATGTTCAAATACAGGAATAAAGAACAAGAGGAAAAGGTAAGTATAAACAATTACAAAGGACTAAGCAAGGATAAGCTGTGTACATTCAAATATAGGTAGATGATACATGTGTCCCCTGTTAAGCCTATCATCATCACGGTCCATGAAGGGAGTCCAGTTAGACAAGGCCTGGGAGTGGTTCTGTTATGTCTTGAAGATCTTAAGAAAAGAAAGCAAAGAGAGAGGAAGAGGAATATACTGGGAGGGAAGAGGAAGAAAGGTTAAGGAACATTATCTCACCTAATCAGGGTGCAAAAGTAGACGTATATAAACAATGAAAAGAGGTTGGGGGAGCAGCTGATATTTGGACATCACTTTCATATAAACTGGTCAAAAGAAGAAACACACAGTTGTATATAGAAATACATTTCATTCAACTGGGATTCAGGAAAAAAAGTGAAAAAGAGGAGGGGAAATTAGAGGGATGGCACATGAAGGAAGGAATTAGTTCTAAGCAAAACAAACTCTAAGGATGCACAAAAATATTAATAGCTCTTTTTGAGCTGGCAAAGAATGAGCTTCTCTTTTTTTTTCAGGCAATTAGGGTTAAGTGACTCGCCCAGGGTCACAGAGCTAGTAAGTGTCACGTGTTTGGTCTGAGGCAGGATTTGAACTCAGGTCCTCCTGACTTCATGGCCGGTGCTCTACCCACTGAGCCACCTAGCTGCCCACAAAGAATGAGATTCTAAAGTTTTGTTGTTGCTGTAGCTGTTTAGTCATGCCTGACTCTTTGTGACCCCATTTGGGGTTTTCTTGGCAAAGATACTGGGGTAGTTTGCCACATCCTTCTCCAGCTCATTTTACACATGAGGAAACTGAGGCAAAAGTGTTAAGTGACTCTCAGGGTCACACAGCTAGCAAGTGTCTGAGGCCAGATCTGATGAATCTTCCTGACTCCAGGACCAGCACTTTATCCACTGTACCACCTAGGGATTCCCATAAATCAGGGAATAGACAAAACAAGTTATGGTACATAAATGTGATGGAATAATATTGTGCAGAATGAACTCTTATCACAATAAGGACCAATCATAATTCCAGAGGACTAATGAGGAAACATGCTCTCCATTTCCTGATACAAAGGTGAGGAACTCAGAATACAAAATAAGACAAATATTTCTTTGGTCACCATCAAGTAGACATTTGTTTTGAGTAACTATAAATTTGTGCAATGGGGGAGATTGGGATAGGACGGTGAAAAGGCAGATCTTGGCTGATTAAAACAAATGTGAAAAAATATTTATAGATATATGAAAAATGCTCTAATTCATTATTAATTAGAGAAAGCAAATTAAAACAACCTTGAGACATCATTTTACACCTATCAGATTGGCTAAAATGATTGAAAGGGATATAATGAAGGGGATGCAAAATACTGGGACACTAATTTATTGTTGGTGGAATTGTGAACTGATCCAACCATTTTGGAGAACAATCTGGAAGAGTACTCAAAGAGTTATTAAACTGCCCATACCCTTTGACCCAGCAATGCCACTACTAGATTTATTTCCAAGATGATAAGGGAAAAAGAAAAAGAACTTATATGTTCTAAAATATTGATGGTAACTCTCTTTGAGGTGGCAAAGAACTGGAAGTTGCGAGGATGCCCATCAATTGGAAAATGACTGAACAAGTTGTGGTACATGATTGGAATGGAGTACTGCTGTGCTATAATAAATGACGAGCTTGATGATCTCAGAAAAATATGGATAGATTTGAATGAAATAATGAAGAGCAAATTGAGCTGAACCAAGAGAACACTGTATATAATAATAGTAATATTGTTTTAAGAATAACTTTGAGAAATTGAGTCACTTTGATTATTACAAATACCCAAATTAACTACAAAGGAAGATGCTATCTGTATCCAGAGAAAGAACTAATAAACAGATGTATGTATAAAGTGATTTCACATACATGTGAGTGTGTGTCTGTCTGAGTAATGGTAGCCATATCCAGGACAAGAGGGGAAGAGAAGAAAAGAAAAACAAAAAAAGAAATGTACATGTTAACTTTATCATATATTTAAAAAGAATAGCAAGTTATACATAATAGATTAGCAGTTTTATATGCATTCATCTTTTTATTATACTATGTGTGGAAATGCTTGTTTTATTTTATAAATTAAAAATAAAGAAACATTTTACTAAAGAAAAAATGTATATAGCATTTCTGTGGTATACTATTCTAGTAGTTATAAAAAATGAAGAAACTATATTCATGATGAATTAACTGATCTATTTATCTATAGGTGGTCAACCTAGACCTAGAAGAGGCTGGAGTGAGAAAGCTAGCATAGGGGGTGTATGGGTGTTGACTGACATGCTGAGTGCAAGAGGTGAAATGTACATGTGTGCCATTGTAGGGGAGGCCACATCCAGTGATACCTCTAGCACATGTCACTCTTATATATTAGGAACTAGTGTATAGTATCTTTTATACTCCATTTTAGTGACGAAGAAGTTACTTATTAGGAAATAGGGGTGGTATAAGCCTGAAAATAAAAAATATTTGTATTTCATATTGCCAAAAAACCGAAAACTGCATTTTACTGCCACTTCTTATACTTCTTATAGAAGTACCTAATCTGATAGCTAAGGAAAAACACAGAATTACTCTCATAAACTCTCTTTTTTTAAAAAAATAAGCATTCACTATATGCTAACATTACTAGAACAGTTTTACTCTAAACAAGAAAAGTGGGATGTGGATTCTATTTAACATCTGATATTTCATGGTATTTTATCAATTATGATTATGCCATTTCTATAATGTATATCATATGAAAACAATAAAATAATATAGTCATAACTTGTTTGAGGTATTGTTTCTACAGTAGAATTGAAAGATATTTTATCAGTATAAAACAACCACTGTGGATGTTATGTGACGTTAAGGGAAGACTTCTACCCACTAAGTTAACAAAACTACTTCCTATATATAGCTTCAGGGGATTTCCCTGAAGACAGAATTATAAGAACTGAACAAACTCGGCTCCACTAAGCTTGTAAGAACAAGAGAAATCACAGCCCCAAGGTATGATGTGGTTATCAACACTCCAAATCACTGCCAAGCTCAGTGAATTTTATTTTTGAGATATTTTTTATGCCGTGCTGTTTTGGTCACACCTTTTCCACAAATGACCAAGGGAATCAGGATGCCACGCATGAACAGATGCCTGGTGGGTGCAGGCAGAAACTCCCTAGCCTGTTTGACTCCCAGGGAGTTTTGCCTTGACTTTGGGACTGATGGAGTGGCTGACTTGAAACTCATGAACTAGCTCATTTGTTCCTTTTGGATTCGTGGGAGAAAATGACTCAAGGAAAGAGAGAGGTGAAAACAGTGGAGGAAATGTTTCCATGGAAGTAGCATTGGGGCTGGCCATGAAGTAGCTTATGCTGCACTATAGATTTAAGGTGGAGTGAGTGAATCATTCATGAACCATGATGGGGCAGATTCTGCAGTGCTGAAAAAGTGTGGGCTTTTGACAACAGGTGACAATCCTTCATTTTTCTTCTTCCTTTTGCCTTACTTTCTTCAGAAAAGAGCCGCATGGGGCTTTGGTTCCACTGGGGCACGGTGAAGCTCATATTTATTTCTTAAAAGTTTATTTACCTTTTCAGTGTTTAAATGTTTATTTTTTATCTTAAACTGACAAATGCAAAAAAATTGTTTACTACTGACATTACTATTATTGCTAGAATGTAGCATTGAGGGGAGTGATTAGGAGTGCCCCAAAAAGGGAGAGAGATTTCAAATGACAGAATCAAACAGAGTTATTTAATTTTTACCATTTCCCTGGGCAGAGAGAACATCCACACCCACATCCATATTCATATATATATATATATCTACAGTAGAATTTCTCTAGGAAAATTAATCTTTAACAGTTCCTGGACCAGCAACTGGTCGGGCTAGCATTGAGGCAGATACCCAACATTCTCCTACAATTGGTGTGAAAGGAAAGTCAGTCTCCAGAGGAGATGGTCAAAGAAGGAGCTAGAGAAAGTTACTCACATCAGGATGAATAGCCTACCCTAAAAAGGGAGAGAGATAAGTAAGATTGGGCTTGCTTGCTCTGCACATAGAAATACCACCACCACATTTAATCTTACTTACCAGTATCTACTAAAAAAACTCCATAGTTGTTGTGTAAGTCAGAACTCTCTGGACAATTCTTAATTCCGGTCTGATAAACTTCCTCAGCTTCCCGAAACAATTCCTTTAAAGAACAAAACCAGAAAAAATTTAAAGACGTCAATATTAAAATTAGCATTGTCAAAACATCTTATTTTGATGACACACAGGACAGAGGAAACCACTTGGTTCTCACAGGCTATGCCATCAGAGGGCAAGGTCTGGAAGTTACTAGTAAATTGGAAAAATTTCAAACATGGGTCTGGTAAGAGAATACATTTTTTCCCTCAGGGAAATTTGAAGAGGCTTATCACTAGAAAACTGGTTATCACAATGATGATTTTTTTTGGCCATAGTATCTGATGAAGAAGACTACAGAAAGAGTATTGCATTTGGAACGTGAATGCTATGTTTTGCTTATAACTCTGCAACCTACTCTGTATACCAGTTTGGAAAAATCATGAATATTATGCTTTGATTATGACTCTGCAAGCTATTATGTGTACCACTTTGGAAAAATCACTTCAACTTTTTGGACCTCAGTTTCCTTACTGATAAAGTAGGAGGCTGGGTTGGGAGATCTCTTTACTTCTTTCTATATCTATCTATAATGTGCTAAAGACTGGATAGATCAGGGCCTATATCTCAAAATAACAAAAGAGGGAAAGGTTCTATGTGTACAAAAATATTTATAGCAGTTCTTTTTGTACTGGGAAAGAGTAAGGGAAGTACCCATCAATTGGAGAATGGCCAAATAAATTACAGCACATGAATGTAATGGAATACTAAGAAATGATGAAAGGGATAGTTTCAGAGAAACCTGGGAAGATGTATCAACTGATGCAGAGCAAAGTGAGCAGAACCAGAACAATTTATATAACAATAATTCTGTAAAAACAAACCAAAAAAACCTTTGAAAGTTGTCAGAACTCTAATCAATGTAATGGCTAACCATAATTTGAGAGGACTCATGAAGAAGCATGCTACCCATATCCTGACAGATTATATAATGTAGCAAAATTTTTTTTACATAGCCAATGTTAGAATTTGTCTTTCTTCACTATGTATATTTTTGCCTTGTTTTTTTTTCCTTTTTTTTTGTGCTTTTTGGTGAGGCAATCGGGGGTTAAGTGACTTGCCTAGGGTCACCCAGCTAGTAAATGTCAAGTGTTTGAGGTCGGATTTGAACTCAGGTCCTCCTGACTCCAAGGCTAAAGCTCTATCCACTGCCCCATGATTATGTATATTTTTAAAGGTTTTTGTTCTTGTTTTTTTAATTAGTGGGGAAAAATTTATTTTTGCTAATTGAAAAAATTAATCACAAGATGTTTGTATGATTTTAGTTTGGAAAAATTACTGACTTTTTAAAAAAATTCATTTTTTCCCAACTACATGTAAAATAAATTTTTAACATTTAAAAAAATTTTTAGTTCTAAACTTTCTCCTTTCCATCTCTCCCTCTCCTTGAGAATTCAAGCAATTTGTTACATGTGCAGTCACTCAAAACAAATTCCATATTAATTAAAGAAAATACAGACCAAAAAAACCCCCCCAAGAAAAATAAAGTTAAAAAAAAGTATGTTTTGCTCTGCATTCTGAATTTATCAGTCTTTTCTCTGAAGGTGGATAGCCTTTTTCATCTTAAGTCCTTTGGAATTGTCTTGGATTATTGCACTGCTAAGAATAGCTAAGTCATCCACAGTTAATCATCCTTACAATATTGCTGCTACTGTACAAAATGTTTCTCCTGTTTCTTCTCACTTTACTTTGCATCAGTTCATGTAAGACCAGGTTTTTTGAAGGTATTCTGCTCATCATTTCTTATAGCACAATAATATTCCATCACAATGGTATACACAACTTGTTCAGCAATTCCCCAATGGACAGGCATCCTCTCACTTTCCAATATTTTAACACCACAAAAAGAGCTGCTATAAATATTTTTGTACATATGGGTCCTTTTCCTTTTCTTTGGATCTCTTTGGGATACAGACTTAGTGCTTGTATTGCTGGGTCAAAGGACATGCACAGTTTTATTTTGGGCATAGTTTGGACATACTTTGGCCATAGTTCTCAAATTCTCTCCAGAGTGGATCAATCAGTTCACAACTTCACCAACAGTGTATCGGTGTTTAAATTTTCCCACATCCCTTCCAACATTTACAATTTTCATATTCTGTCTTCTTAGCCAATCTGACAGGTATGAGGTAGTAACTCAGTTTTTTTTATTTGCATTTCCCTAATCAATAGTGATTTAGAATATTTTTTCATATGATCTTTGCTTTCTTCTTCTGAAAATTGTCTGTTCATATTCTTTGACCATTTATCAATTGGGAATTGCTTATATTCTTATACATTTGACTCAGTTCATTGGATTTGAGAAATGAGGCCTTTATCAGAGAAACTTGCTGCAAAAATTTCCCCAGTTTTTTGCTTTCTTTCTAATCTTGGCTGTTTTGGTTTTATTTGTGCAACTTCTTTTTAATTTAATGCCATCAAAATCACCTATTTTATATCCCATAATGCTCTCTATCTCTTATTTTGTCATAAATTCTTCCTGTATCCATAAATCTGACAGGTAAGATATTCTATGCTCCCCTAATTTGCTTATTATATCACCCTTTACATCTAAATCATTTACCCATTTTGACCTGATATTTCTCAACAATACTTTCATAAGCTCTTGAGTTTTAAATTTTCTACTCCTCCCTCCCCAAGACAGCATCCAATCTAATATTGGACCTACATATACATTCCTATTAAACATATTTTCACATTAGTCATGTTGTAAAGAAGAATTAAAACCAATAGGAGGAACCACAAGAAAGAAGAAACAAAACAAAACAGAAAGAAAAAAAGAGCAAATAGTATGCTTCAATCTGCATTCAAACTCCATAATTCTTTCTCTGGATGTGAATAGCATTTTCCATCATGAGTCTTTTGGAGATGTCTTAGATCCTTGCATTGCTGAGAAAAGTTAAGTCTATAAAAGTTAGTCAACGCAGAATGTGGTTGTTACTGTATACAATGTTCTCCTGGTTCTGCTCACTTCACTTACCATCAGTCCATACAGGTCTTCCCAGGTTTTTCTGAAGTCCACTTGCTCATCATTTCTTACAGCACAATAGTATTCCATTACATTCATATACCACAATTTGTTCAACCATTCCGCAGCTGATAGGCATCCTCTCAATTTCCAATTCTTTGCCACCACAGAAAGAGCTGCTATAAATATTTTTGTCCATATGGGTCTTTTTCTCACTTTTTATGGTTTCTTTGGGATACAGCCCTAGAAGTGCTATTCCTAGGGCAAAGGGTATGCACATTTTTATAGCCCTTTGGGGGCATAGTACCAAATTGCTCTCCAGAATGGTTGGATCAGTTCACAACTCCACCAACAATGTATTAGTTTTCCCACATCTTCTCCAACATTTATCATTTTCCTGTTTTGTCATGTTTGCCAATCTGATAGGTGTGATGTGGTACCTAAGTATTTTTGATTTGCATTTCTCTAATCAGTAGTGATTTAGAGCAGTTTTTCATATGACTATAGATAGCTTTAATTTCTTTATCTGAAACTGCCTGTTCATATCCTTTCACCATTTATCATTTCGGGAATGACTTTTATTCTTATAAATTTGACTTAGCTCTCTATATATTTTAGAAATGCATGCAGAATTGAGGTAGCTCAAGAGAAAAGCAAGATACACAAACGTAGAGAATCTATCCCAAAGGTTCACAAAGACTCTTTGTGCCCAACCTGTGGTAGAACATTCTGAGCTCGTATTGGTCTGATCAGCCACAGTCCTACACACTAAAACTTGATTCTGGCATGGTGATGTTGTTTTGATCCTCTTTGAAAATGAAAGACAACAACAAGAAATGAGGCCCTTATCAGAGACACTGGTTGTAAAAATTCTTTCCCAATTTTCTGCTTCTCTCCTCCATATATTTGCTTTCCTTGCTCTCCTAATTTACTTATTGTATCACCTTTTATGTCTAATTCATATACCCATTTTGACTTTATCTTTGATTATGGTGTAAGATGTTGGTCTATGCCCAGTTTCTGCCAAACTGCTTTCCAGGTTTTTCAGCAGTTTTTGTCAAGTAGTAAGCTCTTATCCCAGAAACTGTGGTCTTTGAGTTTATCAAAGAGTAGATTACTATAGTCATTGACTACTGTGACTACTGTGTACTTAACATATTCCACTGATCCATCACTCTATTTCTTAGCCAGTACCAAGTAGTTTTGATGATTGCTACTTTATAATACAATTTAAGATCTGGAACTGCTAGGCCAACTTCCCTAGCATTTCTTTCCATTAGTTCCCTTGATATTTTGGACTTTTTGTTCTTTCAAATGAATCTTATTATTTTTTCTAGTTCCATATAATAATTTTTGGTAGTTTGATTGGTATGGCAACGAATAAGTAAATTAACTTAGCTGGAATTGTCATTTTTATTATATTAGCTTGACCTACCCATGAGCAACTGATGATTTTCCAATTATTTAGATCTGACTTTATTTGTGTGAAAAGTGTTTTGTAATTGTGTTCATATAGTTCCTGGGTTTGTTTCAGGAGATAGACTCCTAAATATTTTATAATGTCTACAGTATGATTAAATGGAATTTCTCTATCTCTTCCTGTTGGGCTTTGTTGGTAATATATAGAAATGCCAATGATTTATGTGACTTTATTTTATAACCTGCAACTTTGCTAAAGTTGTTTATTATTTCAAGTAGCTTTTTACTTGATTCTCTAGGATCCTCTAACTATATCATCTGCAAAGAGTGATAGCTTTGTTTCTTCTTTGCCTATTCTAATACTTTCAATTTCTTTTTCTTCTCATTGCTGAAGCTAACATTTCTAGTGCCATATTGAACAATAGTGGAAATAATGGACATCCTTGTTTCACCCCTGATCTCACTAGAAATGCTTCTAGCTTATCCCCATTTCATATGATGCTTGCTAAAGGTTTTAGGTAGATGTTACTTATCATTTTAAGGAAGAGTTCATTTATTCCTATGCTCTCTAGTGTTTTTAATAGGAATGGGTGTTGTATTTTGTCAAAAGCCTTTTCTGC